AAAAAAAAAAAAAAAAAAAAAAACACATCATAGTAAAATTAATACCTTCTCCGCTTCGCATCGAAGCTAAAAAATACATACAAGTTTTAATTAAATGAACATAGAATTTATATTATTCATGAAAGATCTTAAAAAATAAACAAAACTTACTTTTCCAATTTCATCATGGTTAGTTTCAATTAATTCTGTATACATGCTAAGGAAATCTTTCATTTGCTTTAAGTGAGATTCTTCAACTTCTTGGAAAAGCTATTTTAAAAATATTTTAATAGATTAAATGTATTTGATAAAACATGTAATAGTATATTAAGCTAATATATTAAAAAAAAACCCAGCACAGGGGGGTCACGGCACAGTGGTGACATGATATAGTTGGATCAAGTATAATGATATCTGACAGTGATTAAAATCACTATAAAAAAAAAAAACGCTTCGATGCAAATCTTTAGATAGTGTCTAATTTTAAAAAATTGGTGGATTATTCCAAAAGCTACATGATCTGCTAGTTTCTTATTAATATCTTGATTAAGATAAAGTATGTCAAATGAAAAAGGGATTATTAAAAAATATTATTTCTCATAAAAAAATTGTGTCAATCCATACACTTTTCTATAAGTTATAGCATTATAAAGTTAAAAATGTAAAAAATAAAATCGAGAATTTTCACATAATAATAGCATTTGGCAGCCATTTTCACCGGGAAGACAAAATTTTTTTTTCCATAATAAAGTGCATTACATTAGCTTTAATTTAAGATATATATAAAAGTGTCAGACTTTCCGGTACATTTTCAAAAGTTAAGTTGAAAAAGTAATATTTTTGTGAAAAAGTTGTCATTTTAAATCCCCCCGTGGGCAGGTAAAGGGTCAGATATAAAAAAAAATATACCAAATGAGAGTTAATGATATCATGCATTTATATAAAAAAAAAATTATATTGATTTGGTTATTTTTAAAAAAGTTATGGCAATTTTAAGTAAAAAAACCCAACCCAGCACAGGGGGGTCGCGGCACAGTGGTGACGTGGCATAGTTGGATCAAGTATAATGATATCTGACAGTGATTAAAATCACTATAAAAAAAAAAAACGCTTCGATGCAAATCTTTAGATAGTGTCTAATTTTAAAAAATTGGTGGATTATTCCAAAAGCTACATGATCTGCTAGTTTCTTATTAATATCTTGATTAAGATAAAGTATGTCAAATGAAAAAGGGATTATTAAAAAATATTATTTCTCATAAAAAAATTGTGTCAATCCATACACTTTTCTATAAGTTATAGCATTATAAAGTTAAAAATGTAAAAAATAAAATCGAGAATTTTCACATAATAATAGCATTTGGCAGCCATTTTCACCGGGAAGACAAAATTTTTTTTTCCATAATAAAGTGCATTACATTAGCTTTAATTTAAGATATATATAAAAGTGTCAGACTTTCCGGTACATTTTCAAAAGTTAAGTTGAAAAAGTAATATTTTTGTGAAAAAGTTGTCATTTTAAATCCCCCCGTGGGCAGGTAAAGGGTCAGATATAAAAAAAAATATACCAAATGAGAGTTAATGATATCATGCATTTATATAAAAAAAAAATTATATTGATTTGGTTATTTTTAAAAAAGTTATGGCAATTTTAAGTAAAAAAACCCAACCCAGCACAGGGGGGTCGCGGCACAGTGGTGACGTGGCATAGTTGGATCAAGTATAATGATATCTGACAGTGATTAAAATCACTATCAAAAAAAAACGCTTTGATGCAAATCTTTAGATAGTGTTTAATTTTAAAAAATTGGTGGATTATTCCAAAAGCTTCATAAACTGCTAGTTCCTTATTAATATCCTGATTAAGACAAAGTATGTCGAATAAAAAAGAGATTATTAGAAAATAGTATTTCCCATAAAAAAATTATATTGATCAATACACTTTTCAATAAGTTATAGCATTATAATGTTAAAAATGTAAAAAAAAAAATTGAGAATTTTCACACAATAATAGCATTTGGTAGCCATTTTCACCTTGAAGATAAAATAAAGTCCGAAATTTTTTTTTTCCATGATAAAGTATATTACATTAGCTTTAATTTAAGATATATATAAAAGTGTCAGACTTTCCGGAACACTTTCAAAATTTAAGTTGAAAAAGTCAATTTTTTGTGAAAAAGTTGTCATTTTGAATCCCCCCCTGTAGGCAGGTAAAAAGTCAGATTTATAAAAAAAATATACCAAATGATAGGTAAAGACATCATGCATCTACAAAAAAAAGAATTATATTGATCCATACATCTTTCGAGAAGTTATAGCATTATAAAGTTAAAAATATAAAAAAGAATTTTTTTACAAAAATCGTATTTTTTTTATTAAGTTTAATGTCTGTTTTCACCATGAAGATAAAATAAAGTCCGAAATTTTTTTTTACCATTATAAAGTATATTACATTAGCTTTAATTTAAGATATATATAAAAGTGTCAGACCTTCCGGAACACTTTCAAAAGTTACGTTGAAAAAGTTCTACTTTCTATATGCATTTTTATGTTTTGAATCCCCCCTGTATTTAGGGAAATGGTCCGATTTAAAAAAACAGTATGTCGAATGAAAGATCTATATAAATACTACTTCTCATAAAAAAATTGTAATGATTCATACATTTTTCAAAAAGTTATAGCATAATAAAGTTAAAAATGGAAAATACAAAATCGAAAATTTTCACACAAAAATAGCATTCGGTAGCCATTTTCACCATGAAGATAAGATAAAGTCCGAAATTTTTTTTTTTCATGATAAAGCATATTACATTAGCTTTAATTTAAGATATATATAAAAGTGTCAGACCTTCCGGAACATTTTCAAAATTTAAGTTAAAAAAATTAATTTTTTGTGAAAAAGTTGTCATTTTAAATCCCCCCTTGTGGGCAGGTTAAGGGTTAAATTTATGAAAAAAATATACCAAATGAAAGGTAATGATATTATGCATCTATATAAAAAAGAATTATATTGATATGTTTATTTTTGAAAAAGTTATGGCACTTTTAAGTAAAAAAAATTGAAAAAATTTCGAAAATTAGCGATTTTTAAATTTGTAATTTTTTTGGAGGTTTCCCCCTTTTACGGGGAACGAGGGAATTTTTTTCAATTTTTAAGGGTAATGTCTTCGACTAGATACGATTTGTGATCTTTTGACGTATCATTGAAAGAAATCGGTTCGGTAAGAGCTGAGAAAAAGTGGTAACAGACACAAAAAAAAAACACATCATAGTAAAACCAATACCTTCTCAGCTTCGCATCAAACTTAAAAGTGTCAGCATATTTTTATAATTAAATAGATAATTAATTAACAGATTCAATTACTTAATTAATATTTTTAATTATATATAATTTATTAAATATTTAATATGTTAAATTAATTTTTAATTTTTATTTTATCAAATTGAAATTTTTTTTAGTTTTCCTTGTGGTTATTCTATCTATAATGAATATATAAAAGATACTAACCTTACATGCAGATGTCATTTTTTTTTCAAATTCTTCTTTTACAGCACCATACTTATCTATTAAAATTTTATAATCATCTTGAGTTTTTTTTAATTTTATTTCAGCCTTTTCAATATCCTTAACAGAAGCATTGTCTTTTCTAAGTTTGTCTAACTCCCCACCTTTTTGCAAGTAAATGTCTTTTGCTTTTTGTAAAGCTAATGTGGTCGATTGTATGGATTGTACAGCTTCTAAAGTACCACTCTGTTCTTCTTTAACCTGATATTTTTTTATAAATCTTGAATAAACAAAAATGTTATTATGAAATTTTAACTTACATTTTTATGCTTCTTGTGAAGTTCATCAGTATACTTTGTAACATCTTTGACTAGTTCACATACTTTATGTACCATTTGTAAATGGAGTGTGGTAAGTTTTTCTATAGATGCTCGAAGTAATTGCCATAATGGAGTAAATGTACTATTAGTTGTTGTACTACTAGTCTGCTTAGCTAACTTGGCAAGTAACTTTGAACACGTTTCTTCAATATTAGTCCTAAAATAAATTTTTATTTTATTTTTAAAATTATTCAGTTTGATATAATTTAGTAATTTATATCACTAATTTTAAACATTTGCTTTATTAAAAAAGTTCAATTACCTTTCTCGTAAAAAATCTGAAAAGTCTTTACTAGCTAATGAACCATGTTTCATATTGTGATATAATACATCAAATCCATTATTTTTTTCTCCCTAAATAAAATGAGAAACATGAACATTTCCTACATATAAACTAATTGAAAAACAATATGCTTAAATAAATTTGTTATTAATGATATAAAAAATGTACAATATTCTCTATATCCATGTTTCTGAAAAAACATTACATGCATATTGATATGAAATAATGGGAAGTTTAAGTTAATACTTTGATAAGTTTGGAATATTAGTAAAAAAAATTTAATTTAATTCATTATAGAAAGACATAATGTATACAACATAAATTAATAGAATATTTTATTATAAAGATGTATAATATATCATATAAGAAAAAATATCTATAGTTTTTAGTTAAAATTTAAATTATTAATAAAATACTACCTTCATTGAAATTTAAATTTTATTAATAGGTGATATTGTAAAAATGAAAACCAGGTCAAATGTATTAAAAATAATTGGTTCCCATTGAGTCAAAAGAATATATTAATGGTAATAGTTCTAGTAACTATAAAATATTCAACTGAACAAGAACACATAATTTTTAACATTTAAGAACATTTTAAATAGCTCGTCAAAATTAAAATTAAGCATAATTTTAAAAAGTTGTAAATGGCCTTAAAACGTAAAAAAGAGTCAGGTCATTACAATAATATAATAGAACAAATATTATAATCACCCAAAAATAATCGCAAAAATCGACCGTCATAATGAATTAAGGAGATTCTTGTCATTCCAAAACACTATGCCAATATTATTTAAATTCTGCCAAACGAAATTAAATAAAATAGTTATGACGAAATTAGAAAACTTAAATCGATGATTTATAGACAATAATCGGTTGCAAAACAAAATATTTTATGAACCAAACCTGTCACTGATAAACAGTCAAAAGGAAGACGACTGATTAAACGTGATATCACAATGTGTACGCCCACACTCCCTCAATCTTCATTGCAGAAGCCTTATGGCCTTCATTAAGTGTTTTATTGAATGTTTAACGCCCATATTTGATTTAACTTGACCATGGAAGAATAACTTTCGTTATTTACTACAAAAAAAGAGGCGATTTAATTTAATAATATAGTTTAAGCGTAATTATTAACTTTATGTAACTTATATTTTTAATAAAAAAAAATTGTTCTTATTATTTCATTATCTGTTATATTAAATGAAATAGAAAGATTTTCACAAAAACTTATAACTAAAATATAGTCACGACCAGTTTTCATGAGTTATTACATTCAAGTTATACATTATAAGTGATTTTTTAGTCAATTTTAATAAGAATCTTATCAAATGAGATTTTCTGTTTAAAGATAAATTAATAATAATCTCGTCTCAATCATAAAAACTACTATAAAAAAAATCAACTATTTTTATTTCGTTATTGAATAATTATATTTATTGTAAAAATGAAAAAAAAATAGGAAATTTCATCCGTAGTATTTTTGACACATGAAATTTATTGAAATTTTTTCTTATTTTATCATAATAAAGTAAACATTAACCAAAAAAACACAAAATATATTAAAATGTATCAAAAAATATTTTTAAACATTTATAATATTCAAAAAAATATATATATAATACATTAAAACCACCAATTTATATTTATGAGGTTTATTAAATTTGATAATAAATTATTTTTACATAAAATACTATTTTTTAAAAATTAATTTTTCTAAATAAATTGTAGAATTCTAATTGTATTCAACCACATTTTTCAAATTTATTAGTATAGAAAACATCTAATTTGTTAATAGTTAAAAAAGAAAGTAATAAAATTTAAATATTTAAAAAAATACTTTTTTCTTAATTATTAAATTAATAAATAAATTTATCATAATATACAGGCTGAAACATATCTAAGTAACAACTACTATAACTTTCAACTTTGGACAACTTTTAACTCTTAATACAATCAACAATAAAATGTTGATGGCATCATATTATAAAAGTTTAGCAGATGATTTATTTCACTCTGTATATTATATAACACTTTAGTATGTAATGTCATTAAACATCACTAGTAAAATTATTTAGTCAGGTATCCTTAATAATACATTTTTATTTAATTATTTTGAAATATCTCATTTAAACATGAGTGAATTAAAATATTATTATTTAATTCCTTGAAAAAGTCAAACATTTGAAGTTACAGCACTTGTTGATACATTGACTGGTGGTAAGTAGTACGACCGTATCTGACGATGTAAATCAGCTACAACTCTATCTTCTTTTTCAAATGCAACAACACTCCTAGTGAATGTAACAATGCCTAAAAGAATAGAATTTAAAATAAAATTTAATAAGATTCAAAATATAAAACAATTTTTACTTGAATTATCTACTAAATATTATACATAATAATAATATACAAAAAATGTATTGTTTAATAAAATGTTGCATTATTTATACAGTAATTACAATAATTTTTATCAAATATAAACAACTGTGAGGCATATTATAATTATTTCTTGAATTAAATTTATGAATTGATAGGTCTAAACTCCAACAAAATGCTCAACGGTGCAGAAACTACATCAAACATCATATCAATTTCATATCATTCTAGAAAAAATGCCTTTGTTTTTAATAACACATAGGAAATTTCTCAAATAATATATATATACTTAAATTCAAAACAATTATAATCTATCACCTATCATACTAGCCACTAGACTGTAAAATGACAAATTCACTATTTTCTCCACGCACAAAAATATTGCTGATAAAATTATGAAATCACACTTGTATAAAAATAACTATAAGAGACAAAATCCAACATTTAATCAACTCTGAATAAACTGAACAATCCGATTTTACAACTATCTATAGTATGTTATGATAAATATGTTGGTGCCACAAATCTTATTAAAAATATTCTCAAAATTTATAACATATCTGAAGTTACCTTAAAAATCAATAATAGCTATATATGTAGAATGAAATATCCTGACTAAAGATATTAATATAATTAGCAGATTAGAGACTAATGCTATACTACTTGAACACAGAGAAATAATTATAAAACAACTTCCAAAACTACACAATACTTGTTGGGAATCAACATCAACAGACCTCAGGGATGTAATACAAAAATTACTAGAATAAGAAGATATTATCTTATTGAATGATACATCACCCAGGTACTTAAGTTTGGCCACTGGTAATTTTTCTTGATTAGATATAACTTCAAATAAGTACTCCATCAATATCAAAAAAGCTAAGATGGAAAGTCTTAAATGAAATTTACAGCAGCATCACTTTCTAATCAAATTAATCTTAACAAAACAAGCACACACTAGCAAGCCAAGATAGAATATTAAAAACCCGGATTGAACATTATATAAAGATCTTTTAGAAGAGTGTGAACATTATAAGATAAAATTACATTATTTTACACAAAAGAAATTATACAAACTTTTACAAAAAAAATAACAGAAATAGCCAACTTCTTTTTATTAAAATAAAAATAAATTAAATCTGTTGTTTTGTTTAAAATGAACCATAAATAAATTTAAATTTATTAAAATAAATTTTGAACCATAGAATTTATTTTAGAACAAATCAAGATCCTAGAAGAAAATTAGCCTAATATTTTAACTGCTTGAGCTAACAGAAATAAGTACAATTTAAATTCAAATATAACAGTAAAGGAAATAAATCAAACACTGAGCAAATGTACCAACAAAATATCATATATTTTCCTACAAAACTAGGGAACAAGAACTAAGCAATTATGCTGAGTATATTCATTGGAATATGGCAAAAATGATTTATACCAATTAAGTGAAAGAGGAATGATTATCACAATAAAAAAACCTAACATAAGTCAAAACTTCTTTAATAGCTACAGATCCATAATTCTATTAAACAAAATGATAAAACTAAGAAAAAAATTAATAAAAATATCTAGAAAAAAAAAAAACTAAATATCAAAATAGTTGCTGAAAATCGAGATGTACAATAGACACCTACTCTCATGGCAATTAAACACCAAGTTATTCTAACATATTTGGAGCATATTGAAAACATATAAGTTATTTTAACCAATATTATAAAGATTAAATGATTATAATAATACATGAAATTTATAAAGAAATTTTATAATTTAAATGTCGTTGAACTTTATGATAGAAATATGATTAAAATAGATGTAAATAATTTAAAATATTCAAAATTAAGCAAATTATATATTATCTGTGCTATCAAATTTTATACAAATACTTGTCACCTTCTCGGCCTTCTGGAAGTCCATATTTTTTCAATATGTCGACTTGAATAGAAACAACAATAGGATACACATATTGTATAACTTTGAGCATATCATTACCAGCCTTAGTTTTAGCATCAGTCAAATTATCTGTATTATTGCTGTTTGTCAAAGATTCTAATATTTCTGCTAAAATGACTGAAAAATATTTAGGCATACAATATGGAATCATAAAATAATTCAATGAAAAATTAAAGTAATAATTAAAAAATCATTTAAATTACATTAGCAAAATTTTAATTATGGAATACCTCTAACTGTATTTGAATCTAACTGATAAGATGACGCTGTCATTTTTATTACTAAAAATTCATGAAAAGCGCATATAGAAAATGTAAATTTTATATAAAATATAAATTAATGATTTTTTAGTTAAAATCTAAAAGATAATCAATAGATTCATAATTAAATTTATAACAGAAATAAACGTCTATTTTTTTTTTGTGAAATATACTTAAAATGATATAGCAAAGTAAAAAAAAAATTATGTATAAATCTACTAAAAAAATTGAATCTTGGGTTCCTATATTTTATTATAAAATTATAAACTTTATTATCTTCCATCTTTTTATCAGAAAATATAGTTATCAGTTGTTAGTTATTTTACGTCACGTGCTCAAAGTAAGCAATTTCTTATCAATTTAAAAATGCTGTAATAACTTGGTTAAGAAACATATGTTACTAACTTCTACCATAGATTAAATACACATAGATAGGCCACGGCATTCAGACAATTGGCAACCGATTTTTTGTTAATTTATACCCGTAGAGATAGCGCTATATATCCTCTCGGAAATATTAAATATTTAATAATAACTGTCCAGTTTGCTGATATTCAAATAATAGTCACGATTATTGATGTACGGCTAACATCGTTAGCGCAAATTAAGATAAGAACCAGTTAATACTAAAAGGCGATTGCTTATTTGATTTAAATGAAAGTTTTCGTTTTAAATACAAATTCGATAAAACATGTGTTTTTTATTTTATTAATATTGATTTAAATTTGACTATTATTTATTTTTTTTAATTTTCTCTTAGTGTTGAAAATCTTAACTTATTACATAACAATTTCTCGCTACCGATTTGTCCACTGTCAAGATTTTTATATTATTTGGTGTTTAATTTCTTAACTTACCAGTAATCAAGTCTAATAAAGATATTTATTAATAATTACACATATTATAAGGATTTCATGTATAAAATTAGTAATTTATTTTTTCAAATATACAATGAAATATTAAAAAAAAACAAATTTTAATAATATATAAATTAAAATATAAAATATAGTTTAAAATATAAAAATTTTAAAAACAAATATTTTAGAAAAAAATATTCAAACAAATAAAGCAATTTTAACCGAAGTTCAGATCACTAAAAATGATAAAATAAGAAGTTAAGATATGTTTTTACCGCAATTAAAAAAAATACACTTATTTTCATGTTGTGTACTCATTGTTATAATTATAATTATACAGATAATAATACAAATAAATATATTAAATGGTAAAACCACGCAAAAGGGACCTTAGTCTTCAGTACTCAAGTGAAAATATGAATAGTGATTATGAAATAGGGAAGATTTTTTATCTAGTTGGATATTTTTACATTGATAGGTTTTAAAAACAACACAAAAATACAAAATAGGCATGATAATTCGTGTTACAATAAGATGTAAACATAGCTAATACATCCTGTTTTTAATGCAATTCCAAATATAATCCTGGCGCCGAGATATCGTATTATTAAATCGTACTCTTTTACGTGGTCTATAGTACAATTGTTTTACGATCTCTCAAAAAATGTTAAATTTTATTTTTCATCGTGTTAAATTTGTAGGGTCACATGAATTCATGAAATTAGGCTTGTCAGAATCTATCATTAAAGTAAAAAGGACCCATACTAATTATACAACTGGAATTATATCTCTAGCTATATATATGATCTTATAGTGATTAAGAAAATGTTTTTATTGGAAGTTGTATAACATAAATCAAAGATAATTATGCAATCATACCGATTTTAAACACATCAGAAAAAGATGTTTCGATTTCTATAAATAATATTAAATTTGATTTTTTACCACAAGATTTCGTGCTCATAATTATACAGAGTGTTCAGTAAGTCAGGAAACGGGTTTCTATTGTTCTCATTGTTACAAACAATGAGAACAATAGAAACCCGTTTTCTGACTTACTGAACACTCTGTATGTAAATACTATCAATTGTAATAATGTTAATGCTAATAATAATAATAATAGATTAACTCTTTTAAATCAAAACCTTAAATTAAATCATTTAAACGGCAAAGAAAAGTCGTCTATTAATAATCTATACAATCAATTTAATGATATATTAATTTTATCCGATGATAAATTATCTTATACTAATCAAATTGTACATAAAATAATTACTCCTAATGCTCATCCAATTAATATAAAACAATTGATACCCTATGTGTCATAACGAGGAAGTTGATAAACAATTAAAAAATCTTTTAAAGCAAGGTAGCATTGAAAAGTCAAATAGTCCATGGAACTCGTCTAGAATTCTAAATTTTATAAAGGAATATATATATATTATGTTTTGTCTGTTAATAAATATTTTTTTGATTTGTTTTATACTCTTTTTTTAGTTTCATAAAAATTATAAATTAATTGTTCAAAAAAAGAGTTATATAAAAGATTAAATAATCTGAATTATTTTTACCATGTCAGAAATATTTATTAACGATATTTTTTAAAAAGGCACTAGTATAGAATTTACTCAATACCTACAAAAAAGAATGAACCAATAAGTTAATACTTATTTGAGTCATTATGATATCTTAACTATATGCTATGTTAAGTGGAAAAAATGATACATAATAAATGTATTCGTAAAAAATTATAAAGTTATGTTTATGAATAAAATGAAATTACACCTTTCAGAAAAGCTAGATACAAAAATAGTGCTTATTATTAAAAAAAAAAATGTATAAACATGCAAAATCATGTTTGAGTATCGTATTACTGGCTTGTTAAATTAATTAGATTAGAAACATAATTTTAAGTAAAAATTAAATTAAAAGCAAAGTATCAGATATCTTATTTTAACAAATTTTAAAATTTTATATTTTTCATAATTTCTGAATGTTTAGAATTTATAGTACATGATTTCAAAATAGGTTATTTTATGTATTTATGTTATTATTTATATATTAATATATTTTATTATTGTGGACTATTAGATGTGATTATTATACATCTTGATATAGTAATATNATTTTATTATTGTGGACTATTAGATGTGATTATTATATATCTTGATATAGTAATACAAATACAAAATAAGTATAATATAAAAGCTTTGTGATATTGGGGCACAGCTCACATGATGATTTTTATCATAAAGATTTTTCAACTCATCCTAATTACAAAGTAATTTATCTGCCACTGCTTTCTGTTTAAAATAATTTATAAAAATATTTAGAGACCAACAGTTTAGTCTTGTACTGTAATACCACATTTTATATCAAAGTCCTGTTAAGGATTCTTAGTATAGTATTAAAATAAAAAATTAAATAAAATTTCAATGAAAAATAATTACAAAGAGTTAAAATCATAAATAACCTTACATTATGTCATAAAATGCAATTAACGTGCATAACAATAACAGTTTAATTATGTGCATCATACATTCATGTAATAATTATTAAAGATATAAAATACCACGTATATTTCAACCAATAGAAGCACTCAAAATTTACGCTATCTATCAGCATAATCGCCTGCGTCCAGTGCATCGTTTCCCTGCGTCCATTCATGATAAAAATTGGACTGCCAAAATTGTGTACGGCGTGGTCAATCTATGTGTATTTAATCTATGCTTCTACTATTAGGAGTGCAAACAATACTCTGAAAAAATTAATTAAAATTTCTTATAACTACATAAGACTACATATACAGGGTGATTTTTTTATCATAACCCACTCAATTACTTGCAGAATAATAATAATTTAAACATTTTTTTTTTTTATTATCTTTAGTTACACATTATTCTTGAATTTTTAACTATGTAATACTTTTTAAGTTCATCCCTTATGCCTTGGAAGGGGGTCAACTTTGTTTTTTTAAATGGTAACACATATTTTTAATTTAATAAAATGTTTGAGTTTTTAATTTAATAGTAAATGGCATTTGAATTTTTAATATAACTTAATTCGTTTATTAGATATAATCATTTAAAGTTTCAAATTTTTGAATTAATATACAGGTATAATACACAAGGGATTACAAATATAGGTAGCTAATTGGTTTTTTATAACATCGATATTAGCAGGTACACAGCATTGTTATTATCAATTGTAGTAAGGCACATTGTTATGAGTTTATAAATACACTAACTGACAATACAGAAAGTATATCTATTGATAATCATAATTGATAATAAACAATCCGTGACTGAGACAGCAATGTCATAAAAATCCAATTAGCTACCTGTATTTACAATCCCATGTGTATTATACATGTATATTAACTCAAAATTTTGAAACTTTAAATGTTTATATCTAATAAGCTAATACAGTTATATTAAAAAATCCAATGCCATTTACTATTTAATTAAAAATTCAAACATTTTATTAAATTCAAAATATGTGTTACCATCNCACATTTATATTTATAAAAACTATACATGTGCAAAATTATAAAGTGTTAAAATATATCAATATACTAAATATAAATATTCAAAAAAAATTAAATATATATACACAAAATAAATAAACCATACATAAAACCCTTTAGATCATTTTTGAATTTGCAGAAAACTGATACCGCATTGTCCGTTACTAATATAAAACGAAAAATTATGAGTGCAACTAAGTAAGCAACTCCTTTATAGCAATTTCAAATCAGATACAACTAAATAAAATACTGCTAGAGGGCGCCACTTGATTAAAAAAGTTATATTATATTGTACTTATGACAAAGTTCAGAGGGGCGTTTACTTAAACATTATATTCCAAATAAAAGCTTATAAAGAATCCAATCCAGTGTTCTAGGACCCAAAAAGTACTCGAATTTACAAGTAACCCGTACGACAGAAATTGCTGGCCAATACAAACACTAATAACACAAAATACTCGGGCGACTTTTTTGGTTTTATGTACTTTTAACCAAGTTCCGAGGCGTGTTCACTTAATAATTAAATACCAATGAAAAGCTTATAAAATTTTCTTTCGAATGGCATAAGTCCCAAAGAGTACTTAAATGTCGAAGTAACCCATATGACAGCAACTGCTGGCCAATACAAACACTAGTAACACAAAATACCCGGCGACTTTCTTGGTTTTATCTATTTTTGACAAAGTTCCGAGGCGTGTTCACTTAATAATTGAATATCAATAAAAAGCTTATAAAAGTTAACAATATATTGCCGTGTGATCACTATTATTATCGATCAGCGCTCGGTTTTTTTTACTTTTGACAATTTTTTGAGGGGTGTGGTGTTGGTTTTGTTAAGGTTAACTAATTAATAAAT